AGCCATAGAACTGCCGAGTTGTGGAAATGGTCCGAATTCAGGAGGTAGGCCTAGTTGTCGCCTGCTACGCTGTAGGTCAGCTGGTTCTTCCAAGTCGCGACTAGTGTCGGGACCTTGCTGCTGATTGCAGTGCATACAACACTACCCAGCACCTCCACCAGAAAATTTCACGTGGTTACAGAATGACCACAACGTCTGTTCACAGGAGCAGCACTGGACGTCGAGCCGAACCGAACGTTAGAGCACGAGCACACCAACCGTCCTCTTCTTCTTTCACACCATGGCACATACTCGCATTGGCATGGCTAAACCTCGTTCCGTGCCTGTGGCAATATCGTGTTGAAGCGCCGACAGATGCGGGCGAAAGCCAAACATCGTGTCGGCAAAGGTACTCCTGGCCTCCAAGTAGGCGGAAAGGCGTTCGCGAACCATGGTTTCCATGAGTTTGCCTGCGCAAGACGTAAGTGAGATGGGTCTCAGTGCCTCGATACTAACGGACTTGGCCGATTTGGGTATGAATGTCATGACCGATGTGGTCCATTCCGTTGGAAGCGGAGAGCCGTCCCATATCGAATTTATAAGGTGGAGTAGCGAGAGGTGTGCTTGGTCGGGAAGATTTGCCAGGAGCGATACTGTGATTCCGTCGCGTCCAAGACCGTGCCCCGTCGCATTTTTGTTAGTGCAAATCGTTAATCAGAAAGCGTGTATGGGGCGTCGAGGTCGGTGTTAGGGGCGCCGGAATACGTATATGCTGGGCCTGCGGGATCAATTGTGCGGCAAATGTAGCGGTCACAAAGTTCTCGCGCGAGTTCATCCGTAGTGCCCTGAAAGGCATGCAGAGCATGGTGGAGCTGTCGTTGCGTTTTTCCCCTGGTGGTGGAGGGATCGAGTAGGCTTCTAAAGAGTCGCCATGCCCTCTTAGAGCTCATCTGGTTTGCAGCCTTCTAACAGGTGTCTGCCCAGTTAGCATCGGAAAGTTGTGCAGAGTATGCGGCCGCCTCTGCAGTGAGCGCCTCAATGCGAGCGCGAAGTTTCCAATTAAGTTTGTTGCGTTTCCAGCGCCTTACGAGCCCGCGGCGAGCGTGCCAAAGATGTGGGAGGTGTGGATCGATTGCAGGAGTCAAATTAGAGGTTGCAAGGGTGCGAGTGTTCGAGCTTCATATGGAGGGCGTATGATGCCCACGCTGCATATTCGGTCGAGGAGAGGACGGCGGGGAATGGTTGCATTCTGAACTGAGTCCAATCGGTGAGACGGGCTTGGCCCCAGTGTTGGCGCATTTTCTGCCGCGGTGTGAACGAAATGCGGAGTAAAAAGTGATCGCTGCCTAGGGTTTCGCCTAAATTTTCCCATGTAGCATCTCGGATGTGACGGTTGAGGGAAGGGTCGGGGCATGTGTCTCGCGTGACCGAGTTGCCGGAACGTGTGGGTTGCGCCGGATCGGTAAGAAGCGTGAGGCTCAGCGAGGAAATGAGCCTCTGAGCTCTCTGCCCCGGGCCTTCTCGTAGTGGTAACCCCAGTGAGGGCTGGGGGCATTAAAGTCCCCGACAATCACCAGTGGTTGTCGGGTCGCTATACGCAGCGCCCGATGGAAGAGATGCGCAAACGAAGCTCTCGCAAGGCGAGGGGGACAGTACACGTTTAAGATACGTATTGATGGTTGGCCCCTCCGCTGAGACAGCACTGATATCATGCAGTAGTCGTAAGGAAGATCCAGATCAAGGTCAATCTGTCTCGCCATGTAAGCTTTATGCACGAGGAGGCATGTGGTGGTGCCGCCTACATAGGAGCAGCATCCAGAAAGGGATGGAGCAGGGCCAGATTCTTGGAGCGCCAAGACGGCCGGCTGAGAGCCAAGTGAGCTGAGGAAAAGGGAAAGATGTGAACGCTTTCGCCTGTTCCCGAAGCCTCCAGGGTTCCACTGTATGATCTCGAATTTAGAAGCAATGTTTGAATGGGACGTACGATTGGTAGCCATCGTGACTGTCTTAAGTTTTATATTTGGTCCTTCATGTCCCGCTCAGAATCCTCAGAGCAGGGAGGGGCACGGAGGCCGGATTGTCCGACGGCGGGGTGGTGGTAGCCACCTTACGACGACGCCGTGGAGCTGTACCCTCACTGCTCACCGAGCAGGAGTGGGAACGCGATGCCTTGGGTTGAAACTGGGTGATTGCCCAGGCTTGAATAGCCTGGATAACCTACACTACTATGCGTTGGACAGAGAAGCTGGTGAGGAGGTGATTAATCGAAGCTTTGACGCGCGTAAGGCGTTCCTCTATGCGGAAGACGCGCGTAAGGCGCTCCTCGCTAGGAAGAGTTTGGTTAGTGGGCAAAAGAACCTGAGGCGCCCCAGGAGCCTCAAGAGCTTCTGGAGTAGATGCGGCACCGGTTCCGAGTGCTGGGTACACATGGCTGCTTGAACCGGCGGTTTAATGGGAGGGGACTTAGCGCGAGGACTAAGCTTGGACGTAGCTGGCGTAGCCGCCTGGACAGAGGAGGCAATACAGGATGGCCTTGCAGTACACTGTTGTTGGGGTTGAAGTCGCTTATTTAAGAGTTCGAATTGTTTAGTTAAAAGAGAATTTTGCTTTTGAAGTGCCGCAACTTGCTGGCGAAGGGCCACAAGCTCGGGAGAAGGAGGATCGACAGAAGGGAGTGAGAGAGACTTAGAAGCAGCATTCCCTGCCCAACTGCTCACCTGAGGTACCGCCGCTGGTTCTTCGAGCGGTGGGAATGCCTGGGTGTCGGCGTGGAGTGGTGGAGCCGAATGATGCAGGTTGGTGCCGCTGTCTGGTTGTGACGAACATGAGGTGGTCCCTCGAGGAGATGTTGAGGGCTGCTTGCGTTTCCGATATTTTGCCGTGCAGCCACTGGTCCCAGTCTCATGGGTGCCGTGGCAGAGGAGGCACTCGGGGTGGCAGTCGTGGGCATTGAGACCTGCAGGTGCGGGGGTTCCACATTTGGCACACTGGGTAGGAGCGGGGTGAGGACACTGAGGTGGTCGATGACCGATGGTACCGCACTTGGTGCAAACAGGGACCGTTTTCTTGTAGGCGCGGATATACGTCGTCACGCAGTGGCAGAAGAGGAAGCGGGGTAACTTCGTGCCCTCGAAAGTCACCACCGCCGCCGCGGAATCTCCGAGTTTGCGGACCGCGAGGATAGTACCTCGAGGCCAATGCAGTTCTGACTTTATCTTCTCCGGGCTTTCAGCAGGGTTTATGTTGATGACGCCCTTGCATGTATCCTCTGGTGCCTTGGCGTGGCCCCGAACGGGCAGCTGCTGATCCCCCACTTGCAGCTGGAAGTCCCCGAGGAGTCGCTGTGCCATAGGCAAAATGGTGGTGCTACAGACCAAGATGTTTTGTTCCCAGATCGGCCACACTTGAATTTGCGTGGTAGTCCGGTCGCCGAGGTAGCTGCGGATGGCGTCGCCCGCGCCATCGGCCGGGACGAATGTGCGTAGCTCGCAGGGAATGCAAGGTTTCACTACTACGACGTAGTCGTCGCGAGAGAGGCGAGTAGTCTGACGCGGACGCCACTTGCGTTGCTTCGCTGGCTGCGAAAACGGAGCAGAGGTAGGCATACCACCGGAGGGATGGCGCGCCGGCGTTTCTTGCAAGGCTGGGGAATGGCGGCCCGCTGTGGCGTCTCGTTGTTGTTGAGACGCAGACTTCGATTTCGCTTGCTTGCGTTGCCACAGTCTCACCATGTCGTCGAGGCATTCGTCTTCTGATGGCATAGTGTTTACGGAGGATGAAATCTCCATGGACAGTACTTGGCCTGAGGTAGGATCATAGCCCGTAACCACGTTAGCGGCCGCCATCGCCGGGCTGAGAGCCCCTATAGCGAGGCGGCGTTGTAGCCGGGAGTGAAGGACGTCCCTTAAGTTGTCAGAACTGGACCCACCTGGACGAAGGTGTTGTCTAGGCGAAGCGGAGAACTTGGCGGTGACGATAAACCCAAGTTTCAGGGGTACCAACGTGGATGTCCGCAGAAATAGCAGAAAACCTACGGAGTGGATGTGGAGTGCGTCCGTCACCATCGAGCGCTCGCAGCGGCCCCCCCCCCCCAGTTGCCATCGGGCCACGCCGACGGACGCTGGTCGCGCCGGTCGCGTTTGGCGTCAGACTAAGAGTGCTCGCGTTTTGCTAACGTAGCATCGCTGTCAACGTTACGTTGGGGTATATTGAGCCCTTCATAATGCACTCGAATCCATTTCGCTAGCTCCACGTATACGAAATTCGGTGTTACGTGACGTCAATGGATGACGAAGGTGTATGACTGGTGCAAACATGATAATCATGAGACGCGTGTCATGAAAGAACATGACAACATACCATGCTCATAGCATGCTCGCTGCCGCTTCGCTAGCTCCACATATACTAAATTTGGCATCACGTTATGTGAATAGATGACGAAGGTAAACAACACATTCAAACATCATAATCATCCCACGGAAGTCATGTACGGCATAATTTACCTCCACCTCGTAACGTTGTGGTGATTTTAAAGTGGCATATCAACCTTTATCATTCGTGCTTCACATATTAACGATGCCCACTGTACGTGGGATCTGCCAATTTGTTCTGTTCTGCATTGAATTTTGAGCTACTGGTTACCATGTCAAGCAAGCTGTCGAGTGACTGTGAATTAGAAGCCTCCTCGAGAACAAATTCTGTCTTTAAATCTTCCGGTCTGCCGCTAGGGGGCTGAGCCACTCGGACACCTCTCGAATTGGCTCTGCCAGTTTTTCACTTTCGCGGCTGAATAAGGACAACCACGGGATTCAAGACCATCACAGCTGTCGCCAGACGATCACCCGATTCGTCCGATGCCAGAGTGTACCAGGTGGGCCTACTTTTTTTTTAGCCATGACACTTCTTTTAAGTTCCCACAACGGCGTCGCCCTAGCTACGCCATCACAATGCCGACGCAGTGCCATCGACGCGCTGGCAACTAGGCGACAAGCCAGGCCCCCGACTTGTTCGAAGCCTGCGAAATGGATGTTGTGGAAATTGAGGGGGAGACGCTGTCTCCCGAAGAGTACAACGACACTCAAGGATGGGTTGTGGCCCATGAACGACGCAAGAAGGCAAAAGACAAGAGAAACGCGAAACCAGCCACGAACGCGGGAGATGCGTCCATGGAGCCGTCTCGGAGACTGAAGGATTTTTTGCATCGCCGGCCAGTGCCAAAAGACCCGCAACTACCAGAAGACGATTACAAGGTTGTAATGCGCCCAGGAGGAGGTCTGTACTTGACGCGACAGAGTCTAGCGCTCATAAGAGACTGTGTTCTACGAGCGGCAAAAGTACAGCCTGACATTGCTGGGGAAGATACTCTCAGAATCAACATGCGACAGAATACCATGATCATGAGCACACCTAGTCTGGCTAATGCGAAGGAATACAGCAACATCAAGGAAATTATGATCAATGACTAGAGCTATGCTACGGCCGCTTATGTAACAGCACCAGAAAACGCATCCAAAGGGGTTATCCACGGAATACCGAAGTATGATAATCAAGAAGACATAGAAAAAAGCTTGGTCAATCAGAGGAACCCGACGATTCTACATGCACTACGTATGGGACTTACGGACTCAGTGGTCATTGTTTTCGAAGGGTTGTTTGTGCCGTATTTCGTATACTACCGTGGTGTCGAATATAGGTGCTTCCTATACAAGAAGCAATATGAAACATGGACAACTTGTGGACAAATTGGACATCGGGTGGATGTCTGCCCACAGCCTGACAGCAAGAAATGCCGTGGTTGTGGGGTGCTCAATCCAACTGAAAACCACCAGTGCGTCCCTAGGTGCAGCCTTTGCGGGAAAGGCCATCTTACAGGGGACAAAAAATGCAAAGAACGGTATAGGATCCCGTACCTTTAGAAGAAAAGATGGTGGGAAAAGGAACAACAACAAGGCGATGAACAAAGAGAAATGAAGATTTTGTCGAACACTGGAGCAACACAGGCATGGAGGGAAGGGTATTCACCAGAAAATCCGACGGAGGAGAATTGCAACGCCACCCAGGACAGAGTGAGACGACACAGAGATCGTTCCAGCTCCTTCCCGCAACTCGCCGAAGGGGAAAGAGAAGGGACTCAACACGAACCCAGATACACATTCAGATCAAGGTCCACTCGTCAACACAGATCCAGGTCACGGGCCAAATCCAAGACAAGGGCAACGACATCACCTCAAAGACAGTCCCACGAGGGTCCTGGCGGCGGTCGGGGCAGTCGACAAATGGTGAGCTGGGTGGGCGAGGTATCAGGGGAGTCTCTCCGGTCTGGGAGTTTGCCTGAGGTTGTGGCAGAAGGCCCCACCCTAGGTCAAGAGCTAAACCATATTAAGAAAATGCTAGAGCAACTCATCCGTGAAAATGCGAAACAGAGAGACGAAATAAAACAACTAAAGGAAGAGAACTTTAAACTCAGGCAAAATCAGCTGCGCGAGTCAACTAGCTTCATAGCATCGTGTAGTCGAATTCTAACTCCAGCGCCTGCACAGGAGTCAGGAGTGCATGCAGCGAAACGAAGAGCAGAGGAAATATCTCCTGTAGAGAATGAAGACCTCTCAAAACCCCTGGAAAAGAAAGCCGAGAATATGCTCGGAGAACTTACTAAGGTAATGCAACAACAATTCGCAAGATTGCAGCTGCAGCTCGTAGAAATAAAACAAATAATAGATAGCATAGAAAATCGACTAACGCTGGTGGAGAACACGCATACAGTTTTGAGGTCCATAGGAGCAGGCCCGGTTAAAACTACTACTAAACCCTACAACCGGCCAACTACGACCGAAGTAATCTAAATCGCAGGGGAAGGGACCGTTCCTAGACATGAAACGACGTAATCAGTATAAAATTTGGCAGTGGAACTGTCGTGGGTATCGCCGGAAACGGGGTAACTTACAACAGTTCCTAAACGGAAAGGAGGCACCAGACGTCATTGCCTTACAGGAAACTGGAGGAATGGCTAAATTGTCGAATTACAAATCCTATGGTACCCCTGATAAAAAAACGTCCGTAACAACCCTCGTGCGAAGAAATCTCACGGTGATAGAACATGATACAGAAATCTACGATGTCGATCATGTTCTTGTTGAGTTAGTTCCATCGCAAAAGAGTGGTGAAAGTCTATTCATATTAAATGTCTATAGCAGCCCTAGACAAAAAACCAAATTTAGGTCACTTTTTAGAAAAACGATCAGCATTACTAAAAAGCAAGCACTGGTTATAGTAGGAGATTTCAACGCGTTGCATGCGGCATGGGGTTGTGACAAAGAAAACATCAAAGGTAGAAATCTCTGGATCGACGCCCAACAGGAGGGCGTTACGTTAATAACCGACCCCACGTCTCCTGACCTCACGTTTACTAAGAATATCATCGAACCTTATTGTCTTAACACACAAGAAAATATGGGCAGTGACCACTATATAATTGAGACCACGTTTAAAGCAGGTCCACGTAAAAGAGGAGGCAAATAATTAAGAATGGTTGAATGGGATAGTTTTAGAAAAATCAGAGAGAACGAAGCATGCGATGCCATCGAAAACTTAGGTAAATGGCTAGGGAACCTTCAGCAAAATATTCAAATGGCAACTAAGACCATACCAAAAACAGAAGGACTAGAAAGCACAGCCAGTAAACTCCTACATATGTGGGAGGCAAAAAAGAGCCTAGAAAAACGGTGGAAAACACAAAAACACAACAAACGCCTTAGAAAAAGGATAGCCACTCTCAGTAAAGATATTGAGAAGTACGCTGAGCAACCATGCAGACAACAATGGGAGGACAAATTGATGCGATGGAAAAACAAATAAGTCTCTCTAAAACATGGAACCTGTTAAGATGTCTGATAGACTCGGAAGCGAGCAAGACAGCACAACAAAACTTTATTAGACTTGTCCGCAAATACAAAGGCACAGAGAAAGAACTGATTGAAGAAATCAGACAGAGATACATTGGGGATACAACCAAAGAGCAATTAAGCTCGTACAGAGGTAAGGAAAATGATTCCCTATACCGACCCATATTAGAGGCCGAGGTACGATCGGAACTAATGAAACTGCGCACAACATCCGCCCCGGGCCCCGATGGGATCACGAATAAAACGCTCAAAAATTTAGACGACAAATCTATCGCAGCCCTCACCGAATATATGAACAAGTGTTGGGAAAAGGGTAAGATACCCAAGCAATGGAAAACGGCAACAATCATAATGATTCCCAAGTCAGGCAAGAAACTAGATCTTGATAATCTTAGGCCTATTTCCTTGACATCTTGCATAGGAAATTTATTAGAGCATGTCATCCTAACTCGCCTGTCAAATTATATGAAAGACAATGAGCTCTTTCCCCATACGATGGTAGGCTTCAGAGCGAAACTGTCTACACAGGACATTATGCTTAAGATTAAACGCCAAATAATTGATTCGGGTCTCAATACACACGACACAAAGGTCATAGTTGACCTAGACCTTAAAAAGGCATTCGATAATACATCACATAAAGCTATACTTGCCAATCTTCAAGCGTTAGGGGTAGGAAAAAGAGTATACAATTATATAAAAGACTTTTTAACTGACCGGACTGCGAGAATAATACTAGGCGAAGCAGAATCCCAAGAGTTTAGTCTGGGCAGCAGAGGTACGCCGCAAGGCTCAGTCCTATCCCCCTTTCTCTTTAACGTGGCCATGATAGGTCTCCCTACCAGACTGAACGAAATTCCAGGACTCCACCATAGCCTCTATGCAGATGACATTACCTTATGGGTAGCTGAGGGTAGTGACGGATACATAGAGGAAACTTTACAAACTGCAGTGAATGTTGTAGAAGAATATGCCACCCATACAGGATTACAATGTTCACCGGAAAAATCGGAACTTCTCTTCTATTACCCGACATGTAGGGGTCGGAAAAGTATCCAGGAAAAACCTAACATTAAAGTCTTTGTTGGAAAAACACAAATACCTGCTGTCGAAAGCATAAGAATTCTGGGACTCCGAATCAGCTCGAACGGGCATAACGGAGAGGCGATCATATTACTTGAAACCAGTGCGCAGCAAACTATGCGTCTACTTAAACGAATTGCAAACCGGCACTATGGTATGAGGGAAAATAATATGATAAGACTGGTACAAGGTTTTGTCATCAGTCGTATTGTACGTATATGTGATTCCGTACCTCAGACTGCAAGTGGCCGAGAGATCAAAGATTGACAGAATCATTAGTCGAGTTTTCAAACAGGCGACAGGACTTCCAATAACTACATCTAATGATAAATTACTTCAATTAGGGCTTCACAACACATCAGAAGAGCTTATAGAAGCTCAAAAAATCGCGCAATATGAAAGACTAACACAGAGTAAAACAGGTAGAGCCATACTAGAAGAAGTGGGTATAAACTACGCAAATCAATTTGGCGCCAAAAAGGATATCCAGTATGAAATCAGGAAATGTTTTGTAATCTTACCGATTCTAAAAAACATGCATCCCGAATATCACAAAGTAAGGAGAGCTGAAAGAGCGAAAAATATACATAACAACGTAAAAAATTTACCGGAAACAACATACGTAGACGCGGCCAAATACAAAGGAAATGACAACATGACTACAGCAGTAGTAGACTACATAGGGAATCATAAGGTCAGCGGCTCGGTGAGAACGAGCTTTGCAGAAGAGGCGGAGGAAGCAGCTATTGTAATGGCCATAGCATCCACCTCGACTTCACTAATTGTTAGCGACTCGCAGACGGCTGTGAGAAACTTTGCACGAGGGCGAATATCCCAAATAGCTTTAAGAATATTGGCTGGATGCAAAGACCAACGAACAATAGATATAGTCTGGGCACCCGCTCACTCCTCCTTACCCGGCAATGAGGCTGCACGCCAGACAGCTCGAGGACTTACAGACCGAGCCTCTGGATTGCCCTGGTCGAACGGGGAGGACGATGAGAGATTTGAGCGGATGACCACTTACATGGATATTACGCAGTATTACAGGCTAAGCAGGAAAATTTATCCTCCCGCACACTCGTCATTGAACAAAGGACAGGCGGTGGCGTGGCGCCTACTCCAGACCCACACGTTTCCTAGTCCGGTAACAATGAACCGCTGCGTGCCGGAACTTCGTTCGGACAAGTGTAAACTTTGCCACAACAGGGCGGACTTAAGCCACATTTTATGGGCATGCCCACAGGCCCCCATGAGAGGCGAATTTCTAGACGGGAGAGGATGGGATGCCACGCTCCTCAGCTCTGACTCTCAATTACAAGCCCGCTTAATACGGCAGGCCGAAGACGCCGCCAGGGTCCATGGGATCGCGGTCGTCGTCTAGGTTTGGTCCTCCCTTCTCCTCTCGCACCTGATAGGAGAGGAAGACCTTTCTGCTAATTAAATAAAGTTCGTTCATCATCATCATCTAAATCTTCCGGAAAGTTAAGCTTGAGTTGAACTACAGTTGGTGCTAAGGTTTCATGAAGTTTGAATGGTAATCCTTACCTCTTTCCGCCTTCCTGGTAGTTTGACCACATAACTGGGGTCCAACAACTTCTGCATAACCTTCACAGGGCCTTCCCACTGAACCACGAGCTTTACACGATGGCATCACCTGGTCTCCCTCTGAAAACAAACGTGGACGCGCGCTTTTATCGTGCAAACGTTTCGCCTTAAGCGGCGCCTTACTCATGTTCGTGAGGTCTCTGCAGGCTTGAAGTCACCCGAGTAAGCCCAACACACTCGATCCTCACCTCTTCCTTGCAGCATACGAAGCGGGGTCCTTAGCGATCACCAGCTTAGCGGAACTAAAGCCGGTGGCCTCGTGAGGTACCGACCTCAGAGCAGACACGGTGGCTGGCAAGCATGCTTCCCAATCTTTACGATTCTTATAGCCTAATGCCTGCAAGAGAGAGCTGAGTACCATACTTCTTCCGAGTTACCCTGGGGATGTCTGACTCAGCTGTGTATTATCCTAATACCCCACCTTTTCCAAGAATACGGTACTTAGTACGCAAGTAAAAACACTGGCCTGGTCGCTCTGCAACTCGGACGGAAAGCCCACTCACTAAAACGCTGAAAGCAGAGAATCCACTCTGTCTATAGAGATGACTGCTCCTTCAAGAGAACTACCTCCGGGAATTTGGTGGCAGGACTTGAGATATAGCGGTACCCTGACTTTGTCACAGGTAGGGGGCCCACAACTTCCAGGACAAGGCGGTGGAAAAGTTCGCCAATGATTGGTACAAACTTCAGGGGTGATTTATGCTGGTCGTGTGCTTTGCCAATTCTTTGGCAAACATCAAAAGAATGCACATACCTCGACATGCTTGAAACAATTGGGACAAAAAAATTTGCTAAGTTGACGAGTCATCGTCTTCTTATTGCCAAGATGACACGCCCACCCGCTACCGTGACATAACTCCAGTACTTAGCTCAATATTTCTGTGCAACCAGTAATTGGTCATGGGGCACTTCCTTCGCGTCTTTGTACTGGCGGTACTAAATTCCGGCACGTCGGCGCTAAAAAAAAAACGAAAAACGTCGGTGCTAATAGAAAACCCCTCTTCCACCACATCACTCAACTTTTTGAGCGTTTAATCCTCTGCCTGTTCAACAGGGATAACCTACGGGCTTACTTTCATTAATTCCACGGACCCGTCCACGCCACGTGGCACGGAAAGAAGGTTAAGTTCCTTTCGGTCCTCACTGGAACTCTTGGAGATGTTTTCACTATTGTCCGGTACGTTCTCCTGGTACGCTTCTGTCACTGTTACGTCGGGGCCCAGTGCCTATCTACTTTGGGAACTCCTGAGCTCCTTCGTGACCTCTTTTGCCCTAGATCACGTTAGAGCATGGGCAGTGTGTTCTCAAAAGCTCAGGCCAGTCTTTTTAAACAAGTCCTCCGAATGGTTAGAAAAAAAAGGTAACCCCACTTCTTCGGCAAACTTTGTGACACGGTGGCCTCTGTTTTTAGTTCTCCGAAGGGGCCCTTGATGTGGACTTTGTCCACTGGCAAACGCACTCTGTCTTCGTGTGCTACCTGCATAATCCACGCGTCATCTCCTGTAGACCCATCCGCGGGCACGTATGGTGGGTGTATTACACCAGTGGCCGCATAATCGCGTAAAACCCGGTATTTTTTTCCCTTTTGCTCTTAAATACGGTTCGAGTAACCTCGTGTTCTTATCAGTATGGTTGAAAAGAGAGAAAACAAGTTGTTTTCTCACGCCAACGCGCTGCTAAATGCACCGATTTATCACATCGATAGCACACAATGGGTTTTTTTGCCTCAAATGCTGTGGCACGATTTTTCTCCTTTCTCTTAGTCAGCGCGCCCATTCATGGTCAAATCCCCATGCCTGTTTTATTCGTTCATCCTTCCTGGGGCACGCATAACTGTTGCGCTCAGACTGCTTAGAATTGTTTCTTTGCCGGTTTGTATCGCTGTTTCTTCTCTCCCCACCTTAGCCAGTTCTGTGGTACACTCTAAGGCAAAAAGGGTGTTAAAGTGGTGTGTGGTTCGTCCTTTTGGGTACTAATGGTGCTGCCACAACAATTAATCCCTTTAAGGACTAACGGCACCGGGTGAACTGCAGTTAGTCTCCTCAAGGGACTAACATTTAGTCCTCACGGTTACACCTTGGTGAGTAACCGTTAGTCCCACAGTTCACCCCAGAAAACTAACATTTAGTCCTCACAGTTGCACCTTGCCGGACAAACGGTTGATCCACTCAAATACTTCAATCGGACGAACTTTTTGTCCCCAGTTCAAACATTGTTTTTTGTTTATTTTCCGCCAGGCCTAATACTTTTTTTGCCTGTTTTTCTGCGCAGTGAGCAACGAATTCCGCAGAAAATAACACGCGAAAAAGTAGTTAGCCACCTATGTGTAACTGCTTTCACAGTCACGGCAACAACGAAAGACGAAAGTGAGACATGGAAATCTTTTATTTTTCTACATACACATGAAGTTTGCCCATTCATTTAAGTGAATTCATAGTGAAGTGCACAAGTCCAGCCTCGTTGTCAAATCTTGTTCACTCCTTGGGGAGCTCCTCCAACGGAAGCGACAGATGACAGGCATTGCAGACGCCAGCGCACGCAGCCTTCTTCTGCCTGTTGTGTTCCCACGGCTGCACGTTCAATAATACAGTAAAAATAGTTAGGCACACGTCATAGAAGATGAGGATGCACGCATATGACAAGTACGTGCACGTTAACATAAAAACAAGCCTTAAAATATAACACACAAATAACTTTACCTTCACATCTTGCACAGTCGTTCTGAAGCTGCTCTGACGAAAGAGATGGATGACGGGCATCGCAGACGCCAGCGCACAGTCTTCAGCACGGTGTGTGCCCACGGCTGCACAATATAGTATGTAAAATAGTAAGTCACACGTGACAGAGGATGAATACAAATGCATATGAGAAATACGTGCAAGGTGAAATGAAAACATATGTGAGATATGACATGCTAATAATTTCACCGTGAAGTCACACATCGTCAGACTCATTTCGATCCCCGTAGCACAACAGTTTAGGAGCGGCGGCCGCAGTCACAACTCCGCGAACCACCGTGCCGCTAACAAGTCGGCGAGTCCTAAGCGAGCGACGTCGCTTCGCTCGAGCAAGCGAACACGAGACGAAACACGGCACTGCACGCGGAGTGTCTGCCGCCAGCGAACTTCGAACAGGAAAGCGAGCGTACGCTTGGCCACCGCCATGAACAGCGCCGAGCTGGTTTGGAGCTAGCGCCGAAGGAATCGACGGTCATGCGGCCCTTTTCCACAAACTCTAGCGAGTGCAGCGCGCAAACGCGAGTCTGTCGCCACGGCCAACGGACTGCGCCGAGCTGCTTGCGACCGACTGACGGGGAAGCCAACTGTAATGGTGACCAATTTTCAGTGAGTTCCGACGCTAGCAAAAGCCCCGCTACCCGTGCTGGTGCACTTACAGCGCGCTACACTACAATTAAACTCTTTACGAGAACCCGCAACGTGTTTTCGACGACTCCCAACACAGCGACGATGTCTCAGCCCAATATCGTCAGCACAGAGCTCATCGCGGCGCCGAAGACAGGCGAGCCCTCGATGAGCGAGCGTACCGGAGGCCGATGGCAATGGCGGCCGATTTCCAGGCAGTCGCAAGGCACAGGCGAACTGCAGACGCCGAAGCTGACCTTTGCGATGCATTTCGTGCGTGCGATATACAACACGACCGAGCCCGTTGCCGGCAAGTGCGATCCGTATCGCACACGCGACAAGTAGGGTAGAATAAAGAATGATAACCTACTTGCCTTAGAATCCAGCGCCGTTTTCTGCCCGAGTCGGACTGAAGTATACATCCGATAGGCCTGTTGTTCTCGGCCGCCATATTGGCCTTCCGAACTGTTGCTGTCGTATGTTGGTCGTGACTATCTTGAAGCCAGAGATATACAGCGGGGCATGGTGGCCTGCCGAGGCTTGCTCCAGACTTCATGGGTGCACCGAAACGCTAAAGCAGCAGCCCACGCTCATCCAGGTGTCCACACAAGCACCACGTCGTAATTCCTAGATCGTCGAATCCAGGCAGCCGTGGTCGAGCACCCCGAGCGCGACGCAGCGCAACCGCCGCCGGCAGAATACGGAGAAAGACTGAGCCAGCAGAGGAGGAGAAGGACATGTGTTCTGCGGAGAAGGAGGGTTGGTCACCTTGGCAACGCTTTTCGCGCTGCCTCCAATGCCCAGGCGGTTCATCTCTAGTGGAGAGTAAGTGGTTTCGCGCCGCACGCTTCTCTCTGTGGTTGCTCCTCCACGGTCTATCCGTTCATCGCGCGCGCCTATTGGGCTCCGTTACTCCTTTTTCTGGTAATTTTGTCTTAGAATGTACGCAGTAAATTCTTGTTTCCTGGCTAATCCTATAAGCGTTCCTCGTCACTTAAAACGTTCTGAAATTGCTCCGTGCAAATCAACACGACTAAAGCTCACCCTTAAGATCACCCTTAAGCCACTCAGTGAGATTGCACCTGAGACTGTATGCAACCTCGACAAATGACTCACTGCCACGTTTGCTACTATTTCGAAAATGTCGTCGAAAAGCTTCAGCAGACAGCTGATAGCTCTTTAGGTTCACACTTTTTAACCCCTTAAGGGCTTATGA